AGTGCAGACTGGCAAAGGTGAGAGCCAATAAGAATAAGTTACCACTTAGGGTTCTGAGGGATGAGCGTGGGGGCTCTGTGCTTATTCCCCCCACCGTGTCAAAACGGTTGCACCTATGCTGGAGCTGATGAGGGGAACTAAAGTTTCCAAGGAGTCATGCCCATGCATCAGTCATCCAATAGAAACTGTATCATTTCATCCATGTGAGATACTGAACCTAATACACAGATTAAAATATATTATTTAATTGGAAGGCGTTTGCGTTCTTACCCCATCCAATCAGCAGATAGACTGTGAAGTGTCTGTTGGGGGAGAATATTAACACAAGGAGGATGTGGAGGTAAAGTCCTTCAACCAATAGCCAGTAAAAATTTGCCATAACACCGTACTGGAAAAACACCAAAATAGCTTTGCAGCCCACCTGAAATGTGAGAACAGGAGTCAGAGTTGTTGCAGGAAAGATGCTGTATTATTCTGCTACTACCTATTATGCATCTTAACTCTCTCGGGAGAAGCATCTTACATGTGCTACTCCCAAATTCAGTAGATTTTTTTTGCCTCTATCATAATCATAGCAAATGCACTCAGAAATTTTGAAAATATCGTAATATAAATGCTGTAAAAGAAGGTGGTTATCAACAAATGCATAAATTTTCAATAATTAATGAATGGCTATTAGATTAAGTGATCATCTACTAGGTGGCTAATAAATATATTCAAATTTCATCTGTCTTCCTAACACAGTAAAAGTTAATAATGAAATTGCTTTATGAGTTTTTAAAGGCTAAACTGGAAATTTATAACTGAAAATTACAACTTTATATGCTGAATCTTCTAAGCAGACATAGAAGAAAAAGCTGAATGGACTTCTAAAAAATGTTTTCTGTTTAGAAAACGTTATGGTTTCTTAATCAACAAGACACATAAAATGAAGTCACAATATACTTATAGTCTCTGTGCTAATCTTCAGAATTAATTTTCAGAGCTCTGCTCTGCTGATGTTTCACAGTGCTGGCTGCTGCTACTTCAGCCTTTCTCAGCAGGAATCTGGGATGTGTGAATTGAACATCAAAACATTCCTGCTGAGACTGAGCTGAGAAATGTGATGATATGGTGAATGTAACAGACTAAACAAAATGGACTAAACAAAGCGTTCTGCTTCTGTCTGCTTTATTTTTTTCCCTTCTTTAAATACTCTTTATACATCCACTGCTTTTGTTAAAACTCCAGGTACATCACATACCTAGGCAGGTTATTTATTTATTTATTGGTTGATACTCTGTCTACACAAGTGTCTGTTATGTGAAATACCCTAAGTTAACCTAGACTCCAGCTGGTGGTCCAGAACTATTTTAGTATTTATCAGCCCCACATGATGTCCTGGATAACTCACTGCATCCTAAGTAACACTGCCTGCCTGTATACATTCAGAAATCTAGATAGAAGCACAAAGTCTTGAATTAATTTCCCTTAACTCCAGATGTAAGAGTAAGGTTTTTGATGTGAGATAGATACTTATTTGATACTTCTACTGTTCATGAAGAGAGACAGGCATGTCCAGTGAAAACCTTGGATGAGATGAGATAGCTACCCAGTGAGAAAGATAGAATCCCTGAGAAACAGCTTAGTTCAGTGATCTTGTTTGGTAGAATTAATCTTACCTCTAGATTTTGTATCCATGGAAAGGATTTCCACTACAGACCAGTAATGGATCAGAACATTTAACATGAAGAACATTCAATATTTCAAAATGCAAGCTAAGATTTGCTTTGATGTTTATGGCTGCTCACAACCAAATCGACAGTCAATGTCTAAATATTTTCTCTCCTTAAAATTCCAATCCATATTTACCTGTGTAGTTGTATTCTTGACTTACATATCAGAAACTTACAACTAAATACTTTCCCTTCCTCCTGCAGCTAATCCTGTATTAGACATCTTTTCAGATGCTGAACAGTGAAGGCATCTATCACTAAAGAGTCAACCAAAATTATAGATCACAGAATGATAGAAAAACCTGAGTTGGGATTCCCAAGGATCATTGAGTCCAGTTCCTGTCTCCATGCAGGAACCACCCAAAATTCAAACCATATGTCTGAGAGCATTCTCCAAATGCCCCCTGAATTATGTATCAGTGTTATTCAGATCCAGGATCTAATTACACTGCATTTTGAATTTGTGGCTTTAAACGTGCATGTGGAACTGTGGAACATGACATGATAAATGTCAGTCAATGCAAGGCAAAACAGCCACAGCCACCATGTGGTGTCAGATCATCCACATATAATGCGAAAGAATTTATTCAGCAGCCCACAAAAAAATTCCAATAGGAAAATAAGAGGTTTTCCCACAAAGAATAACTGAAGAATTAAAGAAATTGCAGAAAACAAATAGCATTTCAGGGTCCACTTACCAATCTTTGAGGGATCTAACCTGACTATTTCTGGCAGTCTGCCTAACTACTTTTCCTAATTTCGTCCTGGATTGGGCCTACTAACCCAAAGCTGTTACATGTTCAGTAGAAAGGACCCAGATTACTAATTCATACATATAGCTTGATAGTCACTGCTAAGAATTTTACACTTTGGGATAATGCAGATTCATCAATATAAAAATACCTTCTTTCCATTTTATTTCTGCAAGCTTAAACTTCAGAAAATTAATATTGAAGGTATTCGGTTATATCTGTAGGGTTCTTTTCAGCACTTCTGGCTGAAACAAAGGAGGTAAAGAACAGGGAATATTACATAGTTGTTAGTATTTTTGCAGTAGGACAATATGTTTCTAAACTTTGTGTATGAAAATGCAGTAAACATATTAGATTGTGGTTTAACACAAGCAGCTAAGCATCACGCAGCTGTACAGGAGTCTCCCACTTTCCTCCTACCCCAGTTTGGTTTTTTTTTTTGCTGAGCATGACAGCATAAATTAAGGAATGTTAATGCACTCTGGCCAGGTGAGATCAGCTGTCCCAGAGATGTTCCCTCCTGACCATACACAGCCTACTGGTCTTGTGAGATGGTTGCATAGAGACAGCCCTGATGCTGTGCCTGCACTGCCCTGTTACAGCCAAAATACTGGTGTGATATCAACACTATTCTAGCTACAAGTGTGAAGTATAGGACCTCGAGAGGGAAGTTAACTCTGCCACACCCAGACTGAGCACACTTGGCAAGAATTCAGGTAACAATGCTTCTGTCATATCCAGAAAATAAAATGATACAGACAACTCCTGCAAATGTCTACATCACTGACTCATTTCATTCCTGGACCCCTGACAGAGCTGCTGGAACACTTCCAGAGAAGGTGCCTTTCACCCTTCTTGGCTGATGGGACTCCTTTTTGCCTTAAAATCTCCCTGTATTAATGCAGTGGCTCTATTTAGCTATAACTGGCTGTAATTTGTTTTGGCAGGTGACCTGCTGTCTATCTGAACATGGACAAACAAACCAACAACATCTTCTCTTTCTTCTGCTTCTCTTCTGTCTACTTCTAACAGATCACTTGGCCAGTCATATTCTCTATACGCTTGCCTACATTGACAGCTTGGTATACCTAAATATTTATAAGCATCAGAAGGACAATTTAGTGACACAAGAGTATTACGTCAGGTTGTAAATGAGGTTTATTACCCATGAGGTTTGGTCCTCTGGACAGTGAGCTGTGTTGGAGCTGGAGTAGAGAATATCATCCTTGACTAAAACGGAGATTGCTCTTAGAATGAAGGAGAGGAACAGGTTCAGATGGATGTAGTTCCGAGTACAATGAAGTTTTCTAAGGAGAGATTTAAAAACAGTCATTTTTAATTTCAAGACAGAAAGCCTCTTGAACAGACTTCTACTCAACTCTGCTTGTCTCTTAGTAATAGGAGTCTTAAGTAAGACCTACCCTTTCTTCCTCCATCATATTTCAGTGCTGCCTCATGTTCCTTTAACATCATCTCATCATCATCATCATTATATGCTGTCCAAGATATATAAATAAATGATCTCTTACTCCTTTTCAGCAATGCAGACCTGAAAATGTTTCTCCCCCACTTTAATGTAAATTGACAGTAAACACTGATTATCATTCTGTCTGCACTCATTTTTTATGCAAATAAAACTTTTTATTATTATTTTATTCTGCATAAATTTCAGATACACTCTCATTAATTTTTTTCCTGGTTTTATTTTTTAATTTCTCTATATAATGGCTTTTTATCTTATGTATGTCAATGCCAGAACAAATAAAAATGCATGTAAAGCATTAAATTGCCTTTCTGTCCAGTGAGATATAAAAATTCTCTTCTTTAGTCATGTTTAGCATTCTTTAGCAGCCATGGGAAAGACTCACATATGACAAATTAAATATTCCAACTAACTGAATGAGTGTTCAGGAGAAGTTAGTTCTAAGTTGAAGGCTTTTCAGTTAAGACACATTCTTTCCAAGATAACCCCACGTAACAGAAATTTGTTTTAGCAAATCCCCAGAAACCAAGCTACTGAAAGGGGCTTTTTTTGGTCAAAATCAGAACGGTGACCTGTATCTGAGTAATAACCAGAAGCCAGGACATTTTAGCAAACTGAGCAATGAAAGAATGAAGATGAAATAGGATGTTACAGCTAGCACTTTGGTATGCAATGCCAGCTTCTAAGTGGTCTTCATGTTTTTATTTTTAAAGAACATTTCTACAGAACACCGAATAACATGTTCTGAAATGATTAGCACGAGCACAGTTAGAGAGAGCATTGGGAAATAAATGACAAATCCATCTCATTAGCCTGCAGTTTGGCAAAGGACATAATACCAGGCTGAACTTAGAGCAGTTGTTAGAAAAAAACACTAATTACTGTGGCTGTATGTGTCCTTCACTGAAAATAGTTCTGAGAAAAGCTGAAATGCTACTATTATTTTGGACAGCAACAGACTTTTCTATGGAACTCAATGCATGCGAAATACATACCAAGATGGGAGTGGAAGAAAATATTTTTCGTGACTAACTTAGATTACTAGCTTTTCATCCCCTTCAGTATATGAAATTATAATATTACATCTACAAAAGGCTGCCAAATCAACCTTTCAGAGGGGTGGTCAAACAATCTTTTTTATTTAGGGCTAGGTGCGATGATTCAGAATAAGAAAGATGCTGTTTTTTATCAGCGAAACAAAAGCTGCTACCCTATTCACCATGACTCATGATAGAAAACTATCTTGAATGTCGACAGACAGTTGATACACATGAAAACACATCTTATAAAAATGATTTAGATTCATACTTTTCTTCTTGGTAAGATACACATCTTAGTGTCAGTTAGAGAATCTGACGTTTTTTGGTTTTGCAATACAGGAGTTATCTTGAAGGCAGCATTCTAAGAGCTACATAGTAAGTAAATTGAACCTAAGTGTTACACAAAAACATGCTGTTCTACAATTCATTTTCACTCTGAGTTGGAAAAAAAACCATGTTTTAAAGTATGTGAAAAATATTATTTCTTTCAAATCAGTTTTCAACTTTCTAAAACTTCATGATATGCTAAAATTCAGACATTCAAAATGAAGGAATAGAAACTTACATTGTAAGTAGGGTAAAAATATTTCTTCTGACTAAGTCAAAATTATTACTTTCAATGTTTATAAAATGTTCACAGAAACAAGACTAGGCCTGACAATTTGGCAATGTCCAACAGAAAAGTATAATGCCAGAAAGTTTCCAATTAGGTTTGCTCATAGTAAGTACACAGAGAATTACGTGGGGAGTAACACCATAGTAAGTTGAAAAACGTTGCCATCTTAATATAGAATGATATTACAGACCTTCATATTCTATGCCTTTAGTCTGAGCTTAGAAGATTATCCAGAGATAAAATCCTTTTGTTTTGCAATGCTTCTAAACCTGTCCTTTGCATGTATTAACAATGGAAGAATATCTAACAGTTTTGTAAAATCAAGTAAAGTGGGAATCTTCTTTGGAAGAAACATAACAGAGATGCACAGAACTGCAACTGCATGGAAACTTTCAGGAAAAATCACCTTCTACTCATCTAACGGTCCTGCCTTTTTCGTGCTTATAGCTGATAATTTAAACAACTGGAAAGGCTTGAGGCTGTATCTGTTCTGCCAGATAGAATATACAATGGAGAGTGGAAGTTAAACAGTAGTACCTGAAAAAGAATTTCCACTTCTTTTTCATGTCTATGTTTTCTTTCATAAAGTAATACTGAATATATTCACGATTAAATGCAGTATAATTTGTAGCATACATATACAAATCCAGCAAGGCATAATTTTCATAATGTCTGGCTTTAGCAATATGCAAGTTTAAATCCTAATCCTGCTGGATGAAGTCAGAGTTTTCACAACCCTACTGCTTTAGTGACTCCAGTGATTTTTAACTATCTTCTTAACTACCCAATCTCCTTTAGTCAGTGTGATTTCAAAAGTTGTTTAATGTCCTTTTTAAATACAACAAAGACAGTTTGCTGCTTACATGCAAAGGTGAATGTATTTCAGGGCTGAGCGAACTATCTTCACAAACACTATATTGAAATTGCCTATAAAGAACCACTGGACCTTTCAGGGCAAAGTATGCTTCTTGGACAGGAGGTGTAAACAGGTAAGTAGCAGAAAGTTAAACTTTACAGAATCTTATTTTCTGTCCTTAAAAACAGACCAAAATGCACAGGATGGCACACATGTCAGAGATATGCAGAGACATATAGCCCTTTACATTCACTTTTCTCACTGACACTTTACAATTGCATCAGCTGCAGTCTAACATAAGAAGTGTAAAATGCTGCATTCCGATGTCTATGATACAATGTCTGAAATGTGTTACTAGGCACTAGCAGTTTTGAAAATGCATGATCTGCCTACAGCGTTTGGTAGCAGATACATGATACTCATAAGCGACTCCATTTTCTTCAAAGATATTCCAAAATATTATCATGGGTCATGTACCCACTCTGAACTCTCTCAAAATATTTAAATATTGACAAAATCTTATTGTAGTGTATAAAATTTATAGCATAGCATAGTAATAAGCTAATCAGAGGACTGAAACTATGCAGCCCTCTACATCTAGTATTACATGTAATTTTTTTCTACTAATTTGAGAGATGTATTTTCTTCTTAGAGTGGAAATGGAAAGTTATGTAAGGTTAATACTGGAGAATATGAAAGCCATTCTATTAGACAGAAGTGAAGCATAAAAGCATGAAGGTTGAGAAAATGAGGAAAGCCAGAATATCAATAATAAGATTTTGCTCTTTCTTTTGAACAGATGGGAATAGCTTTCTGTCTCAGAAAATGCCCAGAAATGAGCCAAAAACAGCAGACAGTACTGCTTTTCCCAACACTGCCTAAGTAAAACACTGCACACCCAGTACTATCCTTCAGCACAGTCACCCACACCTTTACAAACCCTCTTGGATTACCTCTGACGCCTGGAGACCACTCAGAATTTTCTGAAAAGCACCAATTGTCTGGTGTTGAGACCAGCATCCTACTAATTTTCAAGAACAATTCAATGTATCGATTTTTAAAATGAAACAAAAATTACTTTATAGATTCATTCCTAAATGATTATTCTTTACATAGGCTGCAATGTCTATACATTTGTAAAGTGCTTTGAATTCTTTTTAATGACTGGTGCTGGCAAAAATCCTGTTAGCATTATGTTACTGTCAGCTGTTTGAGAAAAATGTCAAAATGATACTTTTTTTTTTTTTAAATCTGGGCACTCATTAATAAGACAGTGATTAAAACTGTTTTATTATTGTGCATATTTACTAGTGAAAAACACATACCTGAAAAGGCAAAGAATTATACTTCCTGTTGTGAGAGCAATCAGAGATACGCTGTGACCAAGGGTATAAATTGCCTTCACTCTTACATAGAAGTTGACCTGCAGAAAAACATATATATGCTGAAACCACTTACTGATATTTGAATTGACTGAAGTGATATAATTTTCCATTAAATAGTTCTCAAGACTAAATAAATAGCATTATTTTCATGCTTTGCTCTATAGAACATGATGAGAATGTGTTATACCTTTATTCCAACATATTTTTGCAATGCAGCCTATCAAACCAACAGACATCAGTAGAAAATTCAGCCTAAGAAATTCAATCAGACAAGTTGCAATTTTAGCTGATTATCCCATGTCTATGAGGTAAAAAAAAAAGTATCTGGTTAAAAAATGTTCATAGACATCTGAAATGTAAGAATGATATGCAGTTTGAAAGACTGGATTATCACTGAAAGAGGCAATCTCTCAGTCCTTCTGCTCCACTGTACTTAGTCATGCATTTATACATGAACTTAATTTTAAGGGCATTTAAGTCCCATTAATTTTAAGGACATGTTTAAATTCCATTCATTTCCTAATCTGTGTGTTCAAATATTTGTCACCCAAACAACCCTTTCCCATTCCTTATTTTGTAAAGTTAGTTGCTGAAACTTGGAAAGGAATTATATCAGCAGAGGAAAAGCAGACTGAAGTGTGCAGTCTGATCATTAACTACAGTTATATGTAAATTTGCCAGAACATATTACATTAAAACCCATTCTGAACGACGATGATAATGCTCTCAGAATTAAACTGCTTGTTCATTTGTGCCTACAGCAAAGTGATTGCATTGATGCTATTTTCCACAAAGCTAGATAAAATACTAACATTATAGAATTTTTTGCTATGTGAAATAAAAGTTTTTAACAGCAATATAGAATATGTTAAATAAAACTGACAGAATTTCTATACATACTGCACATATTTATAGCACTCAGATCATACAGCTGCATCTGAAAAGCAGTAATAAAGCAAGACCTTTGAGTAAACTGTTAGAAAAGGGAAAAGTAACTCACTCAAAATGCTGCAAATACACTGGGCACTCTTTTATTCAACCTGCCATGCCCTGCAAAATCATGGAAGAAGGATGCTCCAATAAATGACTTAACGATTTGGCAGCCTCATGATCTATCATCAGCATTCTAGGAGGTAAAGAATTTTATTCCCTGAACTTGTGCCCATCAAGTGTTGCAAAAACACACTCAAAGCCTGGAAACAATGCACAGCAGTTCCATAATATGTTGTTCTATCTGTTATCATCTTGTTGGCATTTGCAGGCCCTATTAAAAGAACATACAAACAGAAATCTGGAGGGTCTCTAAATCAAAGCTTCTTAACATCCACCATGTAAATATTGTAAATTTGAAGGAGATAAATGTCACTTGCAAAAGAAGTTGCAGTGACAGCAAATCTGCGTTGTTTAAATACTTAGTGGAAGTTTTCACATTCAGTTTCTCAGAAAAAAAAAAAAAAGATCAGCAGAGATGTCCTGTAACATCTGATGCTCAGCTAAACAGAAGTCAGCACACTGCATAAGAGCAGCAATGAGCTGTCTTCTAGTATGAGAAAGCCATACACATAAAACCTGGTAAGATTATGGGGACAACACAGGGAATACTTTACAATGCTCTCGTCTTCTTGTCTTGGGAACCACAAAATAACTTAACAAATCCTGCAATGTTAAAGCTAGCATCATCCCTTTGTAACTTGTATTTGCTAGTACTTTTCAAAAGGTAATCACATAAACCAGGACTTCTGATGCAAAGGTGTCCTTCACAGCCCCTGGTAGAAATGACTTCTTCCTTCTCACTTGGGTTTCTCACTGTTCTAGAAAACCTTAAAAAGCTGTATGGTCCCTTTCTGCTGCACAGCGGCAGAAATCTTTTATGAGTTGGTATACAATTCCCAAAGACAGTCTTCTTCTGCCAAGCAGCAGAAATAACTCCAGGATGTGTGTAAGTTTGGCACATGTAAGCTCATGCATCTGCTGTTAAACAGATGACTACACAGAGCAAACTGTACACATCTCTAAGTACCATGGTCTCTACACTCCAGACAGTTCCTTCTGCCTAGGTGAATCACCTCCCTTCTGCATTCAAAAATTCTCATGTTGGCATTTTTATTAGGCTTTGAAATACTTTTTCTGAGAATTCTGTAAACAACTCCGCACACATATGATACAATGGAAGTATTAGGAAGCTGAGAGTAATAGAAATATTGCTACACTGAAGTAAGAATCCATAAAAAATATTTGAATTACTGAAATATGTTTGCTTATACTAGAGAAACTAGCAATTTTGTTTATGTAGTTCTGTTGCTAGTGACTACTTATCCCAGATTTACATGACAGATCAGAATCCAGTAGCTACAAGAAGTAATTTCAACTTGCACGTTTCCTTTCAACAATACACTAGCCATTCTTCAATGTTTGACACTTTTGAGAACTCGTTAATCTGGTATTTGGCTTTTACCTGACACTGAATTTAGTTTCACAAAAAAGAGTCATAATTTCCTTTACTATTACATCACCCAAAGGTTTTCCACTTCTTCTGCAGGGAGTAGATTTCAAATTCTATGAGTACGTGTCTTTATTCTTCTGACTGACTAATCCAAGCTGTGTAACACACACAAATGCAAGCATTACTACATGACTTACTATCACATACATCAAAGTAAATTCAGGTAAGCTATATTATTACCTTCATGTTTATTGTCTTAAATCATAGTCAGTCAAAAGTGTGCTTTTTACTGATCAATGCAGAATACCTCAGTTAATTAATATAATCTCCTTTCTAATATACAAAGGAAAACCAAGCAGAGAATAACATTCTAGCTACAAAATAAGCAGTAAGAAACCTGCTATTAAATCACTTTTTTGCTGGCCAGGAAATATAAAGTGCAGCTACAAACTCATTACACTTCACTGAGCATGCCAAATTTAGCACCAGCTGGTTTCAGATCAGTACATGAGATAAGAACAACTTTGTTGGCAATCATGGATGATAATTTACCAAGTGAGACAGGATGAAGATGTTGTTTCATCCGCCACAATCCTACGTTTAGTATTTAACTTCACCCAACTTTTCTGACTCTCATGGCAACATATTAGCTCTCCTTCCACATCCAGAGATACCGATTGCAGAAAAAAGAACTGCAGTCAAGAGACATTCAGTTTTTAAAATATGTGATAAGTAAGTTTATGTAAATGACTTGAAGAATTCAATGTGGTTAACTGTGCTGGTATGGACAAATTCTAAGTCCAAGAAATTTGTTCTAGCTCTGGCTCTGACATTCTGAACTCAGTCAGATCCAATCATGTAAGAAAACTTACTCCGTAATGTGAAAGTTTTCACATTTGTCTTCTATTCTGAATGGATAAGAAGAAATCTCTTATTTTTTTTATCACTTCTGATGCAATTACTTGCAATTCAACAAGTCCATTGCTTATAAAACATGCTACTTGTATCATCTTCTAATTCTCATCTATGTACTGTATTTTTATGGTGTTCCTATTCCTTTAAAAGGTCCAACTACACCATATCTATCTACAGAGAGACTGTATCTTCTCCTTAATTTATGTCTTGACTTGGAAGTATTTGTTTAGGAAATATGTAAATTGTTTGGTGCGAAGTATATAACATGTATAACTATGTTTAGTCTGCATTGCCTTTGCTCATTTTTTCCCTATCTTTGCCCGTCTTCATTCCAGAATGACTTGCTTTGGTCCTACATTTTTCCCCTCATTCCTACCCTAGACACACAGAACACACTGCATTTGCATAAATAAAGAACACAGACTGAACTGATTTACAGACTCTAATGACCCATGGTCACTGTACTTGTTAGATGGCATGCACCAATAAGATCATAAGAATGATTCTGGACCAGAATTCATTATTGGGAAACTGCAGCCAGAGAATGTTCCCACAGGAAAACCTCAATTCTGCTTACATGTTCTGCATTTCTCCATATCAAGAACAACTTGAACTCAATATATATTCTCCTTTCTCTTTTCTTGGAATCACAAGGGATTCCATTACACAGAGTAACAACTTTGAAATTTATCTGCTTGATGAAACTCATCTGCTATTTTTTTTTAATGGAACAAATTTTTGCAGAGCTGTATAAAATTGATCTTTGGATAACTAATTTTACTTTCCTGTAAGCATTCTTAATGTCCAGGAATGCATAGTTCCTGTTTTCTTCCTCAGAGTAAGTTAGAAACAAGTGCAGGACAGTACAATAAAGCAAGAGATGCACTAAGCCTTTGAATTTTGCAGTGGTGAATTCATCTGAGCAAGTTTTCTTTATAACCATGGAACAAAAGCAGCAGCGTTATTCATCATTTAGAAGGATAATAAAGTAAAAAGACCTAGTTTATCTTCATTAAATACAAAGGAAACCAAGAAAGTCCAGAGCAGATGAAGATCGTGGGAGTCTAAAGTTGGGCAATATTCCTCTGTCTCAGGCTTTTCTCCACTGACTTGGTTAGCTTTCCATCAGGTAATAAAAGCATTACACATTCTTAGGTTTTATTTCTGTTAAGTTTTTTTTATTTTCAAATTAGTTTTAAAGGCCAGCATTTGAAGCTTAGCATTTTTTCTCGCTTTTGTTTGGAATTTTTTCAACTGAGGTCCAACTCCCACAGGATTTCAGATACCACAGTTCTGTTTCCTCAGTAATAATATCATGAAAAAAACCAACCCTAATGTATTTGTAAAAAAAAAAAAAATTTCAAATAGCTACCAGAGATAAGGAGAAATGAGTAAGGCTTCCTTTAGCTTAATAATGTATAATATAATAATTAATATAATAATGGTATATAATCCTTCTAAAAGGTATGAAGCTCAACTGAACTAGTCATTCTCTCTCTCTCTCTCGGGAATCAATGGAAGAGAAGAGAATCTTCTATGCTATGATTCATGTGCTTCATTGTGCTTGTGATGATTCAAAGAAATTAGGATGACTTGCAGCCAGGCTCCAAAGACTACATCTCTTTTGATACTACAGAAGACAAGGGCTGTCTGCCTTAAATGCAGGGGAGTGCATTGCAC